CACACTCCAGCCTGGGCAACAGAGGGAGACTCAGTCTCAAAAAAAAAAAAAAAAAAGAAAAGGCAAAAGAAACTGAGCAAAAGGCTCTCCTGCAGGGACAAAGGTCCCGAATGGGTTTCTGCTGTGGTGAAATGCAACAGGTTTTATATATAAGCTTGAGGAGGTGATGTCTGATTTACATAGGGCATGAAAGATTGGTCAGAACAGGTGTATTCTTTGCATAAGGCGCAAAAAACAGGTTATGGCTAGGTGTGCCATTTGCATACATGTAAAAATCTGCCCACCCCACCCTAATCTTTTTTTAGGCAGATGGGTTCTATCTGGCCAGTGCCAATTTGCCTAGTTCTTTACTGTACATGTGGTGACAAAGAAAAGGGAAGACAGAGCCTTCATGCTGAACATGCGTGGCTCCCAGGTAACCCTTTACTATTGGCACAGCTGCTGGCATTCCCCCGAGCAAGCTTCCTATGCTTAGCTATGTCTGCAGTTCAGTTTTTCAGGCTGCTCTTTCTTAGAAAGGAAATGATTTGGGCGATGCTTTTATTAAAAGGGAGATTTTAGTGAGGACTCTTTTACTCTTACTGTCTGCCGAAATAATTTCTTTCCATCTCCTGTGTCACTCTGAGCCAGACATTGACTAGATGCCAGAAATAAAGAAGAAAATAAAAAGACTTCTCTCTGTTCTAAAGTGGCTTTCAGTCTGGTAAAGAAAGGTAAACAGGCAACAAATCAACAAATGCAACAAAACAGTCTACACACTATGATTGAGTCCTACGGAGGGTGTGGTCGTTTCTTCCTGAAGCTGTGCTGTGAGTAAGACATGGCTTCATGAAAAAAAAAAAAAGACTAAAGTGGAAGAAACCAGAAAGATGTCCACTCACTAGACAGGCATTCATAAGGGAACTGGGAGAATGAGGACAAGAAGTTTGGAGAAGTTCAGGAGCTCTGTGGAATAGCTGGAGCCTGAGCACCTCAGTGTGTGCGCTTCAGATGGCATCTTCTCAAACGCTTTGACCGCTAGGAGTGGATGACAGGAGAAAAGTCATTTCTTGTAGGGGTCTTAAATGTCTTACTCCATTTATAAGGAATAGGTCACAGAATAATTCTGTGAATTGTATTATTCAAATGATCCCCTACCAACCTGTCATTTCTTTGAATAAACACCATCCTTTAAATATATTAATTCATGTGAAATGGTATGATGGATCCTAGACTAGGATTCAGGTTATCAATCTTGACATTACTGCTGTCACCCAGACATCAGATAACTCAGGCTTGCCATTATTCATGCAGTTGCTATGCTCCTGAAAATAAAATTTAAAAGTATGTCTATCTATCTATCTATCTATCATCTATCTATCTATCTATCTATCTATCTATCTATCTATCTATCATCTATCTATACCAGTAGTCTCAGATTATAAGAATTAACTAATATTAAGATACAGCAGGACATCTGAAAAGAGTTTGGAATTATGGAAGATAGTCTTCAAAACTGTAGTAACATCTTGTCACCAAATAGATGCTAGCAGAAGGTCTATCTCCATATCACTATCCACCTATCTGTTTCTATATCTATCTATCTATTTATATGGACAGAGAAAGTTGTGGAATTGCTTTTTCTGGTTATTTGCTGATGTATATAAATAGCTATCTACTGGGATCCAGTTAGATTAAAATATTAAGATGCAATTGAAAAGAGACAAAATAGGTATTATCAGACTTAAGAGTAGATATATATTTTTTCTGGTCATTCAAAAAAATTGGCAAGACCTTTTCTACCACACTCACAGCCCTGCCCTCCTGTTCCACCCTGTGCCTGATGAGTGACCTTTCTGCTGCTTCTAGCCCTGCTGTTAGTGTAATGTTACCCAACTGGACGGTATGTGGAACTCAGATGGAGGAAAGATTGTACATGTAGTTTGAAAGTCAATTTCTAGTGATGACCAGGATGTGCTTCCCCTGACCCAGCACCACTTGCATTTAAGAACCAGAGGAAACATAATGTAGTATGTGTATAATTTTTTGGGGAGTTTATATTTTGGGGACTAAGCCAAACTCCACATTCAAAATGAGAAGAGAATCTTTAAACATTGCAGTTTATTTTAAAAGCCAGGAAAGGACCTTTTCAGGAAGTTATTTTTTTCATGGCTACCTGTTGTTTATCAGTTTCTCAACAATGAAACAAAAATTGATTGCATCATCATGGGAAAAGAAGAACTCTGCATCTTAATGTTTTAATGTAACTGGATCTCAGTATATAGCATTTTATTTAGGTCAGCAAATAACCAATAAAAAACACAACTCCACAACTCTGTCTCTCTGTCCAGTTAAATAAAAAGATAGAGAGATGGATAGATATAAGAATAGTCTAGTGTTTGATCTTTATCTTTTAACTTGAGTCTTTGGCTTTCTGTAGTTTCACAAAGATATATCTAGATAAAAATTTATTTTTATAGATCCCAGTAGGAAATCATTAGATTGCTTAAATAGAGATTGGTTACTTTTGCCAGTTGTAGAATATTCTCAGCCACTAACATTTCTGTTTGGTCTTCCATGTCTCTTAACCTTTTATCTGTATTTTCATCTCTTGTCCTTTCACGCTTCACTGTGAATAGTTATTTTAATGTATTATGCAATTTTCCAATTCTTTTTTCTGCTGTCTGGTCAGCTGATAAACACATCCATTGTGTTATTTGATTACTGTAATTTTTTAGTTCCGGAATTTTTATTTGGTTCTTTTTGATATATACTACAATATTTTTAGTTTCCAGTACTTTTGCCAAAATTCTCAAGCTTATGTTAATTACTTAACATAATAAAAATGAATGCCTTAAAAAAAAAGAATAGATAGATAAATAGTGATAGATATAATTTTTATATTGGAAATTTTTATGCTAGAAATTAATTAAGTATATATATATATAATTTTCTTATTGAAAATTAATTAAGATAGACTCAGTCAACAACAGGACAAGATATAATGCATATGATTCATACCCAGGAATCTATCTAGAATATATAAGCATTGTAAGCCAGGCAGAAGTCACATAACTTAAGGTATGTAGAACCAGAACACTCACAGGTAGAGACAAAGAATCTTAGTTAAGAGACTTGGAAATGAAGCAACAGGAGCCTGAGCTGAAGAAAGGACAAACACATTGAATTAAAAAGGTGTCACTACCAATTCATAAATAAAGTAGCAGCAGCATAAATGAAGATTGTCTTTTACTGCAATGATTTCCTGCAAAGACAAAAAAATCTCAGATTGAAAATTTGAATCAGCCTTTGTTAAGTAGAGAGTAGAAAGTCCATATAAAACAGGGATATATGTTGGGTTTATGATTTGGATTCTATGTTTGTTGATGGTTGATTTATTTTTGTTGATATTATATTTGTTATTCATATATGCTATTTAAAGAAAGTAGCATATATTTCTTAAGGAAAGAAACAACACCATTAAAGCCAGTTGTGTTTAAAAAAAATGGTGTCCAGGCTGGGCGCGGTGGTTCAAACCTGTAATCCCAGCACTGTGGGAGGCCAAGGCGGGTGGATCACGAGGCCAAGAGATCGAGACCATCCTGGTCAACACGGTGAAACCCTGTCTCTACTAAAAATACAAAAAAATAGCTGGGCATGGTGGTGCGTGCCTGTAATCCCAGCGACTCAGGAGGCTGAGGCAGGAGAATTGCCTGAACCCGGGAGGCGGAGGTTGCGGTGAGCTGAGATCGCGTCATTGCACTCCAGCCTGGGTAACAAGAGCGAAACTCCGTCTCAAAAAAAAAAAAATAATAATAATAATAAATGGTGTCCAATCTCTCCCTAAAACCATTGACTAAAGATTGGAATTTGGTATGAAATTTATTCATGATTTTATTTGAAAATAATCCAGGAGGTTTTAGTTATTTTACTATGAATAAATAGGAATATAAACTACTTTTACACTTGGACACCAGGACAGAAAATGAGGACAATATGTAAACATGCACATATGCTGTAAACTTCACATTTAAAATTTGATTATTTATAGATTCGTTCATTCAGCCATTCATTCTTTCAGTTAATTGGTTTGCATGTACTTACTGTTTTCCTTGTAAATGCCAAACACTGTCCTGAATTTTGAAGACACTTGGTGAAATATCTGTTGCTAAAATACAGGAATTCTGGAAGACAAAATATGTAATGAAGATATTGAATGCATTTTTAGAAAATAAATTAGTATAATTATCCTAGAAAGTAAACATAAAAAGAAGAAGAAAGTCGTAATAATTGGACATTGAATACTCATTTTTACCACTTTGCATTTTTAGTATTTATACTTTTATCTCTATTTTATTTATTTATTTTTTGTGAGACAGAGTCTCACTCTGTCACCAGGTTGAAGTGCAGTGGCACAATCTCAGCTCACTGCAATATCCACCTCCCAGGTTCAAGCAATTCTCCTGTGTCAGACTCCTAAGTAGCTGGGACCACAGGCGCCCACTACCACATCCTCCTAATTTTTTGCAATTTTAGTAGAGACAGGGTTTCATCATATTGCCAGGCTGGTCTCAAACCCCTGACCTCAAGTGATCTACCCGCCTCAGCCTCCCAAAGTGCTGGGATTACAGGCATGAGCCACCATGCCAGTAATTTTCATTTTAATTTTAAATTTTATTTCTGATTTTTAATGATTTCTTCTTTTTAAAGATAAAATCATGCATATAAATCATGTCTAAGTTGGTTTACTTATGAAGGTAATATGACTACCTCTTAGAGGTTGTTCTTTAACCATATTTCTCATTCTGCATGACATTTTATTATGTAGCTACTATAATATTTTAAATTATGTCCTAACCATTCGATATTTTGGATGTCTCACCTTTTAAAAGATATAATTTTAGCTAGTATGTCTTTGTTAGTGATTCTAAGTAGACTCATGTTGTTGTTGCAGACTAGTTTATTTAAGAAAACACAATATTTGTGATATTTATTTTACATTATTACGTTCATCCCTGAAGGTGTTATTAGAACAGCTTTGCCAAACATGGACAGAGAAGTCAAAGAACAATACCAAGTACTCATCCAAGCCAAGGATATGGGAGGCCAGCTTGGAGGATTAGCCGGAACAACGATAGTCAACATCACCCTCACTGATGTCAATGACAATCCACCTCGATTCCCCAAAAGTAGGTCACCTTTCCTGTTAAGTCTAAATGATTGCAGTTTAAAAAAAATGTAATGCTGTCATTGAATGCTATGGGAATGAAAATTACTTTCCAGACACTTAGTCTTTAGGAAGCAGAAGCTAATGGATTAAAAATTACACGTCTTCAGGATCGAACATTTTGATGAGACGCATGCCTAGTGTTACTTTAGAACACTAAGAAAATAATGAGCCAGCAGTTAAAGTATTGGTCTTATGTTATCAATTTCTATTAAAGTAAAATATTCAAAATGGGTTGGGATCTTACCCTAATATTTTATCAACTGAGAAATTAATATGTGTGCCAAATCTAATGTAAATATGGAGCCTCATAGTTTTAACACATATACTGCCATATTAGATTCTATGTCATATAATTAGCATTAGAAATTTGTACCTTCTCTTTAGTGATTATACGTGTTGAATCACTTCCAAATATTTTCATATATCAGATGATGATACTGATGCTATTTACATTGCTTTAGTTCTGACTAGTTATTTCATTTTAGTTTTGTAATAGATAAAAATTGCTCTAGTTTCTATAATAGTAGAGGGATTCACTCCTGTGTCTTCTCTGTAACTCTGTGTTTCTTGTTGAAAATGAGTTCTCACCTGTGTTACATACAGTTTTTTGTTGCAGTATTACATTTAAAACCATCACTACCTATTTTATTCCTGGTGCATTTTCGAGGATCATTTCAGGGTCCCTAGGACAGAATACAGAAGCTGCATGTTTCTATTACCGATTGTATAAGGATCTTAATTAAGTCACTAGGCAGTCATTTGCGTAAACAGTTAAAAAACAAAACAAAACAGTTTTTCTCTTTCCACTCCAGGAGAATTTACGAGTTCATCTTCTAAAATATATAATACTAAGGATATTTAGCTAAATGAACATTTTATTTATTCCTTTGGCTATACATATGTTTTTCCATATTTTACAACTTCCTCATTTTTTCTTAAAATCATAAACCTATATTTTATTGATGGGAATGCTTTAATTAGTAACTGAAAGTCTGAAGGCCAAATGTTTTGTGTGGCAATTAGAAATAATTATACTTTATTGCATATGTTAATTAACTTGACTGAGCCATCCCACTTCCAGTAAGTATACATGTTTCGAAACATGTACAAGTTAAAGATGAACAATTTCTGTCAATTAAGATTATTAATTAAAGAAAAAAGAAATAATTTTGCTTTTGCATATACATTTAGCTGACAAGTGGTTACTATATGATATTTTATGATTAATAACACAAAGAGTCTTAAAGCAATACTTTTCCTTATTTTATTATTAAGGAAAACAAAAAAAGAGACTTAAAAAGAGGAATAGATAATACATTTGTTCCTCTAATATATGGTGTGACTAATATGATCCTAACTCTAAAAGACCTAAATTTTTATTGTCTTTAACTACTTAAGTGGGTCAAGCTGTAATAACTAGTTGAGGAGGACAGACTGGGAGATTGCTTGTACATAAAAAGTGGCATTGTGAACTTGGGTCCTGTTTTGGGTTTTGTGCCTAGGAAATATTTTCAATCTAGAGTGTAGTAAATATACAATGTATTCTTAGGTAATGTCAATATCCTCATTTACATGAGTGGTAGTGAGGATTCTCAGATCAGGCATACAAAATTACAGTAAGTGGAATGCAATCCTTGTAGGCATGGATGAAGGCTGGTTTGTAGAAGTTGGAGCAGAGATTCAAACAGGCTGGGCAAAGAGGCCTGATGACAATGGTTCAGTGGCAAAGAAGCTAGAGTATGCTTAGGAAACCAACATGCCATGCTTTACTCCCACTGAAATAGGATGGTCGTTTGTGGATCTTAACGAGTGAAAAGGGTATCTGAATAAAGTAGTAATCCTGCTTGACATTTATTCTAGGTTGAATCTACAGGTCTAAGGGAAAATCTGTGAGATCAACTTGGAAAGTATGGAGAATAAGGGCATTGGAACTTTTTTTTCTGAGACAGAATCGCTGGGTTCAAGCGATTCTCCTGCCTCAGCCTCCCAAGTAGCTGGGATTACTGGCGCTTGCCACTACACCCAGCTAATTTTTGTATTTTTAGTAGAGACAGAGTTTCACCATGTTGATCAGGCTGGTCTCAAACTCCTGACCTTAGGTGATCCACCCACCTCGCCCTGCCAAAGTGCTAGGATTATAGGCATGAGCCACCATACCCAGCAGTCATTGGAACTTTTAAATCATTTACCTATGCATCAAGAACTTTATCATCTCTATCTTGATTTCCTTATCACTTCAGCTCTAAGATCATTATTTTCCACATATTATTGAAGACACTGAGGCCTATAAAGATTAATAACTTGCTGAAGATCGACAAAATTAACTGACTTAACAAAAAGTCTGAAGTTCAAATTCCTCCAAGTTGAAGATCCTATTAAAATAAAAACTTATTATTTTCCTTTATCTTTCACTCTAAAATCTTAGAGCACATCTGCAAAAAAATCATGGCATATGTTGTCACCAGTCATAAACAGAGAAATGAGAGGGCAGAAGAAATCTATCAAGGAGATCACTGTGATCAAATTATTTTCTTACTTGTATTATATGAATGCTTGGACTATAGTCTGAAACTGTAACAGGTGGACTATATTTTTTAACCATGAGAAAGAAGAGGTTTTCATATTTTGAATGAATAAAAAATTTATCTCCCTGAAACTTTACATGTTTTTGTGTTAAGACCTTTTTTCTACACTGTCATTTTGAATTACATCCTTTAGAGGAAAAGACAGAACAACACACTTATAAAGAGAAAATCCAATTCTTTAAAAGCCAATGCTCTTTTTGCAGAAATATTTCTCATGTGGCAGAATTAACCAGCAGGTGTGATATAGAATTACAAACTGAAATAATTATCCTTTTCAATGTGGAAGTCAATAAAATATATTCTGTACATGCATAAGAAAGAATTTCCCAACACTAGCTGTATTTGTTCATGACTGTTTAGCATTTATGCTAAAAAAGCGTTCTCCAGATGAACTTTATGAAATACTCTTTTCATTGCTTAAACAGCATAAATTACTTTCTTAAAATTTACTAATCATTAAGCATTTTGGCTTTGTGTGTGTGACCTCATTAATTTGAGATGAAAAAAACATGAATGGCAAATACATTTGTATCATCATATATAGTTTGCTATAAAACTATTTATTTAAATAAATAGTTGTTGAGATGTCACATAACAGATATCACTGCCAATTTGATGTGGTGATGAGATGATTATATGGACTAATAAATCACTGTGTGTCATGCACCACACAAAGTGATTTGCATGTGTATTTCTCTTTAATTCTCATCATGACTGTACAGCATTTTCTCCCTTTTAGAAAGAAAAGAACAAGGCTGTCTTATTAAGAATTGTTAGATAACTTGTCCAAGAACCCTAACTTTTTATCACTCTCCCTCTTTAACGGTAATTTGCCTTCGATGCCCCTGTTTTCCCCAAAAGGTTCTACAGATAACCGAGAAAATGGTCTTCAAATAAAGGTGGTGATACTGTTTCAGAAATAGAGATAATACATGGAATACTAAAAGAGCTGTAACTGAAGTTATATAAAGACAAAATGGCTTCTTTACAAAATGGTTTCCATAGAGTTAAATAGCTTCCAACTACTATAATCAAGGATATCTGTAGAGGATCCCCATCTGTTCAAACATGCTAGAGAAAAGTGCTGATGGCTTCCATTATGTGAATTTTAAATGACAAAACCATCTAACAAGCTGATCTAAATTATACATTATAAGATTAAATCAATTAAGTGATGTCTTTAATTCACATTTGGCAAAATATTCATACCTTTCCCACTTGTTGCTTATCCTGTATAATAATTTTGTAAGATACATGAAAACAAATTAAGTAAAAGAAAACACTCCTTATACAACATTGGATGAAAAGAGACTTTTCCATTATAGAAATGTAAATGAGTGCTTGTATGTTTTTTTCTATTTCAATATAATAACAGATAAGATAATTGTTTATATGGTAAATAGATTTGAATGTAGAAAATAGTACATCAATAATTGTTCTAAGAAATTTTCTAACTCGTAAATACAACAACATTTAACGTAATTCTCTGTTTTGATTAAATATCTACAAACGTTTATATAGGTGGTTTCTATTAAGAGCTATATTAATTTTGATTCTGTTACAAGTAGTAATACATCATTTATACAATAATTACAGAAAAAAAATAGTTATATTATATCACAGTTAACACCTGAAGTCATAAAAATTCTTATTATCCTGAAATTAACATAACAAATCAAAATAAAATTGAAGTAGTAAAAGCATCAGCCAAAATGTTTGCTGAACAATGAACAATATTTTATGTCTTTGTTTACATAAGCTGTCAGATCAAAACAACATATATATGTATGTACATGTATATATGTATATATTTACACATATATATATGCATCTATATGTTTTTTCTTCTTCTGTTGATTTATGACATAGAAAGACAACAAGATGCCCAGGTTAATTATTGAATTATTAAAGAAAACATGCTAATAACTATACATTCATTCACTTAAAATATTGATGTGTTTAAGTAAAATGTATTATTTCTTTTCATGCTGTCATAAACTTTTTTGGCATATGATCTTGAAATCTACCATAGTTTTTTTTTGTTTAAAGAAATGTTTTTTGAAATATAACATATAAAGGTTTTCTTAGAATCAACATGAATTCAGCTGCACCTTGATGTGGCCACAGTCTATTTCTCTTTGTTTACCATTTGGCATTCTTAAACTTGGAAAATGGTAAGCTTCTCGACTTGTGTTTTCTTGATAAAACCATATAATAAGTCATTTTGCCTAAATAGCAAAAAGCTAATTGAATTTTGACAGTTACTCACATTTAGCCATATAAAAACCTACCTTTATACTTTGTAGGGGTGCTTAATGATTGACTGCATATCTGAGATTGCCTGCTAAAAAACAAGTGTTCTGTGATGTAAATT